CCCGCCCTGGTCATTCCCGGGACCAGCCCGCGCAGGCTCCAGCCCCCCTAGACGTTTCCAGGGGCTTTTCCACGCAGCGGCCTCTCGCCTCGTGCTGTGGACTCTCCTGAAACCCCGAAGCGGCAGGGGCAGGCCTTCCGCTAAGAGGCCCCCGCTGGGCGCGGCAGCCGGGCTCTCCGCTCGGCCTCTCCGGGCGCCGCCCAGCCCAGCACAAGGGGCACACGCTGCAGGTCGCTCAGGAGCTCGTGCTGGGCGGCTCCCGGCAGGGCACAGGCGGGGCACCGGCAGCGGCCGGCTTTGCACCTCCCAGGAGGCCCCAGGGCCGCTGCACCCCCACAGAGGCACCTAAGCTGCGGACTGGGTGAGCACAAAGGCCCACTGAGGCCAGTCCCGCTCCTTAGGGCCGGCACGTGGGCAGCAGCCCTCTCCTGCCGTCACAGCTGGTCCCCATGACCAATCTCCCTGAGCGTGACCCCTTCCCAGTGACGTCAACAGCAATTAAGGCTCAACTACAACAGGACAGAGCACGTGGCCCACCCGGCACACCTGGAGCGCCCAGCTCAGGTAAGGGGGGGGCCGGGCCACCGGGCCCTGCAGGGCACCTGCTGCACAAGGCCACTCTACCAAGCCAGGAGACAGCAGTTCCACCCAATACACAGAAACAAAACTCTGACCCAGACAGCGAGCTGGCTGGATCTCAAGGTCATTATGCTGAGTGAAAAAAGCCCATCTAAAAGCTTACACACTGTATGATTCCATTTATATAACATTAAAAGTTTTTAAAATTGAGTTTTTAGTGATAGGGAGAGAAACATCGATGTGATAAACACTGATCGGCTGCCTCCCACAAAGTGCCTTGACAGGGGACCGAGCCCACACACCCCCACGGAAGATGCTCCAAGAGAGCCACACTGGTCAGGGCCATTTATATATCTTTTAAATAAAATGTCTGTGATTCAGAACTGATCAGTGGTTGCCAGGGGTGATGGATGGTGGCAAGGGAATGTGTGTGCTATAAAGGACACCCTGTGGGGATGGAACAGTTCTGTACTTGGATTGCAGTGGGGTTGCATGAAATTACATGTTCTAAAGTTGCATAAAAGTATACACAGCACACACAAATAAGTGCTTGTAAAACAGGTGAATTCGGAATAAATTCAGGGGTTATGGTGTCGATTTCCTGGTTTTGATATTGTACTGTGGGACATAAGGTGTTGCCACCAGGATAGTGTGAACAATTCCTGGCATCTCCCTGAACAATTTTGGAAACTGCCTATGTGTCCTGGCCAGTTTTGCTCAGTGGTTAGAGTGTCAGCCCAAGGACTGAAGGGTCCTGAGTTCTGGCCAAGGGCAGGTACCTCAGTTGCAGGCTCAGTCCCCGGCCAGACAGGGCCCGAGGAGGAGGCAACCAATCGATGTCTCTCACATCGGTGTTTCTCTCTCCCTCCCTTCCACTCTCTCCAAAAAGCAATGGAAAAATACCCTCAGGTGAGGTTTAGAAAAAAAAGAAATTGCCTATAAACCTATAATGATTTCAAAATAAGGTTTTAAAAATAATAGAACAATTTAAAATGTGTTTCTCTTTTGGATCTAGCAATCTCAATTACAGACATTTATCCCAAGGGGGAAAACAAAACAAATGCAAGAGGATGTAAACATTATTGTTCTTTGTGACACAATTTATATTGCTTAACGTTCGTTAGAAACAAAACAAGCATCCCCTAGTATGGAACTGATTAAATGAAAGGGTACATCCATTCAATAAATCTCTTAACGATGCCAATACTTACTGACAGGAAAATATGTTTTAAAATTTATGTTTTTATTGATTTTTAGAGGGAGAGTGATAAACATCGATGCGAGAAAAATATTATTGATTTGCTGCCTCCTGCACACCCCCTACTGGGGACTGAGCCCAAAACCTGGGCATGTACCCTGACCAGGAATTGAACTGTGACATCCTGGTTCTTGGGTTGATGCTCAGCCAGTGAACAACCCTGGCTGGGCAATATGCTTTTTTATTAAGGGAACATAGTACTGAAGAAAAAATATGTTACAAGAGTATATAATGTATAATCTAATTTACAGAAAAAAATATGTATATATATAACTTTTAGTGTCCATGTACAGAGAAGCATCTAAAACAGTGCTGCCCAACAGGCCTGGGGTGACTGAAGTGTTTCATATCTGTGCTGTTGAATATGGTGCCTACCAACCATGTGACTGTGGAGCACTTGAGAAATGTGGTGTGACTGAGGAAATACTTTTAATTTAAATTTGAAGTGACACATAGCCAGTGGCTACCATATTGGACAGTGCAGCTCTAGCCTATTGTTTCAAAAAACTTGCACTTTTAGGCCTAGTAACCATATGGCGTGATTTGTATGGTGTTAGAAGGTTCATTTCTTTTCCACGTGGGCACTTATTGGCACCCCCCCTCCACTAGCACTGCAGTAGCTCCCTGGTTGTGCATCAGGATGGCCGCCCGACGTGAGCTCCATTGCTCCACTGGTCCGCTGCCCATCACTACGCGTTACCACTGTTTCAATAACTGATTTCATAAGAAGTTTGATTTTTGACAGCATAATACATTGTGTAGCTGCTCTAGATTCTTTTCTATTCTTGGCCCTTTAAATGTCTATATACATTCTAGGATCCAAAATCCCTGCCTGGTTATTTATTGGGATTGTACTGCAGCTATAGGCCAAACTGGAGATTTGGTATCATTTTAGTAAGTCTGTCATTCATTTAAGTCTGTTTTGTTTTCCGTGTAGAAAATATTTATTTTATTACACTCAGTCCCAGGTATCTGATACTTTTAATTTCTTTATATTCTTTCAATTCTCATTCTCATTCTAGTTGTTGCTAATATATAGGAATGCCATTCAATATTTTCATATCGGCATTGTATGTTGTGGCCTAAATTTACTAATTTAAATGTCTTATTTGTAGGTTCTTTTGGAATCTCTACATACATACACAATGATGTCACCTGTAAATTTTTTTAAATTTTTTATTAAATTTATTGGGGTGACAATGGTCAATATGAACATATAGGTTTCAGGTGTGGGTTTCTATGTTACAAGATCTGTGTGCCCACCACCCAAAGTCATATCTTCTCCCGTCACCATATATTAAGACCCCCTTCTCTCCCCACCCCCTTCCCTCTGGCAATCACCACACTGCTTTGTGTCCATAAGTTTCAGTTTTATATCCCACATATGAGTGAAATCACGTGGTTAACTTTTTCTCTTATTTCATTTAGCATAATATTCTCAAGGTCCATCCATGTTGTTGCAAATGGCAGTATTTCATGTCATCTGTAAATTGAAAGGTTAAAGTCAATGGTTCATGGGCAGGCTAAAGAGCCACCTCAGATGGTGGATAAAGGAAAATAGAACTTATTTAAGAAAAAGGGGGTGGGGGATGGGGACATAAAGGGATGGGCTACACAGGTTCTTGCTTTCACGGTTTTGCCCCTTGCTAAGCTTCTGGCGCATTCTGCCCTGGTGAGTTTCTGTACCTGGCCCATCGTCCTTGTTCTGGCCATGTCTGTCTAACATTATGAGTTTTCCTTCTTTCTACTTCTTACACCTTGTTTAATTGTTGCTTTCTTGCAGTAGCTAATATCTGTAGTCATAGATAGAATGTGGTAATAGGCATTCTTGTGTTATTCTTGATCTCGGGATTCCTTTTGGTGTGGAACTATAAGAACCATGTTTGCAGTGCTTGTGTGCGTGTCATCTGTTGGACTAGTGAGACGAAGGTCTGGGGGGAGGGCCACTGTGAGCGAGGTAGTTTCCACTGCTTGACATGCATTCAGTCATTTACTCATAACATCCCAGAATTAGCCTCACTTTACAATGAAGGAACAGAGGCAGAGGCAGGTCCTTTACCCGTGTAAGGAAACACACTGTAAAGTGATCACACCAAGGTCTAAGCCTCAGCAGTCTGATTCCATATTTATTCCCTTGGGCACATGGGAACCCATGCCCAGGCGGTGTCACTGGAGAATTCCACCAAACATCTGGAGAAGAACAAGTGCCATTCTACACAATTTGGGCCAGAAAATAGAAGAGGCTAGTATTATACCAAAACTAGACAGAAAAAAAAAGCGAAAAAGAGGAAGCATTTGAGATCTTGCCCTTCCTTCCCAGCCCATGTTTGGCTCAAATAAACTCTTACAAAAAACCTCAAAAAAAAAATTAAAAATATAAAAAGAAAAAAACAACTACTACAGAATGACAAACTGAAGTAATCACAGAAATCTGATTATTAATTTAGTTAGGAATGATAATGGTATTGTGGTTTTGTAAAAAAAATAAAAATCTGTATTTAAGGAGCTACCTATTGATGTGAAATGATGGGTCACGGGTTTGCTCTGAATTATTTCCGCATTTAAGATAAGATGAGAAAGGCATGACAGACTAAGTGAATGTGGCAAAACCTTGCTAACTGGTGAATCCGGGGGATGGATCTGTGAGGGGGATTCGTATTTTCTCTGAGTATTTTTGAAATTGTCATAATTAAGAATTTTGAGAATCTGTTCAAGTCCTGCTACTTGTGTGAACTAGGGCAATGGATTTAACCTCCCCGAGCTGATTTCCCCAGGTTACAATGGGAATATCATCACTTACCTCACTGAGGTTTAAATGCAGTGAGAATGGTGGCCCTGCAACGTCCTTCAGTGGATGCTAAGCTCCCCTCATGGGAGAGACATATCCATCTCTGAGACTGCACAAGGTGTTTAACAAAGAAAGGAAATCTCACTTCCCTGGAATTTGTTGAACTGTCCTTTGGATCAGGAGAAGGCAAATACGACAGAAGAGAATCCAGAATGCCAGGTCTGCCTGACCTTCCTGGACCAGTCAGTCTGGGCACAAGCTGGTATGGCAACTGTAATTAAGCAACTGTGACTACTGGCTCCTCTGTACCCGAACCATTTCCCCACACACCCTTCTCCTTGATGATATCCTGACCTTTCTTTTCATCCTCAGTAGACCGCTCCCACCTCTCACAACTCACTTTCACCTCTCCTCACTTTTGAATCAAATGCTCCATGTTCTTTTGCTTTTCTGTCTCCCCAGTGCAGTCACACTACCTAGACCCTAATAACCAGGACAGGAAGTTCCAGAATTACTGATTTGGAAAGAAATCTCAGGAAGGATTCCTATTGATAGGGTTACCTGATTTGAATTTTAAAAGAAAGACATATTCATGTCTCGATGAGACCTGTTGCCTAAAGGGCTCCCCAAACTCATTCTATTCAGCAAGGATTCTACCCTCCTGAACCCCAATGATTCCAGTACCATTCACTATACAGACTACACAACAGAACATGGTGCTCTCTGCCCTGGAGGAGTTCACTGAGCTCTGCAGGTTAGAGAATTAACAGCATTAGCCACATCTAATCAGCTTTAAATCCCTATTTCATTTTTTAAAAAAAGATTTTTAATGTTTACCAGAAGATATGTTTATTAATTTCTAGAGAGAGGAAAGGAGACGAGAGAGAGAGACAGTGATGTGCGACGAAACACAGCTCGGTTGCCTCCAGTACGTGCCCCAACCAGGGATGGAACCTGCAACCCAGGTATGTGCCCTGTCTGTAAAAAACTCAACTTATACCTGAATTCTTAAAACACAACATTTTATATATAATCTCTGCTATGTAGATTACATGATGAAACTTAGAAGTCTAAGTTCTAAAGACCACTTTTATTACACTGATCACTTGCAGTGGACATACTGCCATGATGTACTCTATGATGAACCTGAAGATATGAACTCTTACTAAAGCTCTTACCAAATACAAAACATTTATAGGGTTTCTCTCTAGTACGGACTCTCTGATGAGCTTGAAGACTTGAGGTCTGACAGAAGCTCTTACCACACACAGCACATTTGTAGGGTTTCTCTCCAGTGTGGACTCGTTTACGGTCTTGAAGATATGAACTGGGATTAAAGCCCTTACCTTATGTCTCACATTGTTATGGCTCCTTTCCTGTGTGGACTCTGATGAACTTGCAGATTTGATGCCTGACGGAAGCACTCACTGCACATGCCAAATTTATAGGTTCCTCTCCTGTGTGGATCCTTTGATAAACATAACAATATGAGCTGCACATGAACCTTTCCAACAATATGAGCTGCACATGAACCTTTCCAACATTCTACACATCTGTAGGGTTTCTCTCCAGTGTGGATTCACTGATGGGCCTGAACATGTGAACTCCTACTGAAGCCCTTCCCACACACAGCACATTTGTAGGGTTTTTCTCCAGTGTGGACTTGTTGTTCTTGAAGATGTGAACTGCAACTAAAGCCTGTACCACATGTCTCACATTTCTATGGCTTCTCCCCAGGGTGGACTCCCTGATGAATTTGAAGACTTGAGGTCTGAATTAAGCTCTCACCACTCACAGCACATCTGTAGGGTTTGTCTCCTGTGTGGACTCTCTGATGGCCTTGAAGATGTGACCTCCAACTGAAGCTCTTTCCACATACAGCACATTTGTAAGGTTTGTATCCTGTGTGGACTCGCTGATGGCCTTGAAGATGCGATCTCTGACTGAAGTTCTTACCACACAGAGCACATTTGTAGGGTTTCTCCCCAGTGTGGATTCGCTGATGAACTTGAAGACTTGTGGGATGACTGAAGCTCTTCCCACACACAGCACATTTGTAGGGTTTCTCCCCAGTGTGGACTCGCTGATGAGCTTTGAGACTTGAGATCCGACTGAAGCTCTTTCCACACACAGCACATTGGTAGGGTTTCTCTCCTGTGTGGATCCTCTTATGAACATGAAGACATGAGCTCCTCTTAAAGCCTTTCCCACACTCTTCACATATGTAGGCTTTCTCGGCAGTGTGGATTTGCTCATGGTACTGAAGTCGTGACCTCCAACTGAAGCTCTTCCCACACACAGAACATTTGTAGGGTTTCTCTCCTGTGTGTACTCGCTGATGGGTTTGAAGTCGTGAGTTCCAACTGAAGCTCTTGCCACAAACAGCACATTTGTAGGGTTTCTCCCCTGTGTGGATTCGCTCATGGTATTGAAGATGTGACCTCCAATTGAAGCTCTTCCCACACTCAGCACATTTGTAAGGTTTGTCTCCAGTGTGGGCTCGCTGATGGTTATGAAGAAGTGAACTCTGACTGAATCTCTTCCCGCAGACAGCACATTGGTAGGATGTGTCTCCTGTGTGGACTCCCTGATGAACTAGAAGAGTTGAGGTGTGACTGAAGCCTTTCCCACACACACATCTGTAGGGTTTCTCTCCTGTGCTGATTCTCTGAGGAATTTGCAGCTGTGAGCTTTGACTGAAGTCATCACCACACTCATCATTCCTATTGCATTTCTCTTCTGTGAGAACACTTTGATGAGTGCCAAGCACGGAACTATAACTCACGCCTTCGCCACACTCACTACACATATGGGCTTTTGTTCCTAGGTGCAACTGCTGATGAACTTCAAGACTGGGGGCAAGGCTGAAGCCTTTTCCATTCCCATCAGAGGTTTGCCCTCCTGAGTGGATTACATTATGCTGGAATGATTTCTTCATGAAATCTTTTCCACAGTTCTTGTGGATATAAGACTTCTTGCCTTCGTGTACTTCCTGATCATCACCATGGTCATGAGAAGTCCTTATAACACAAGGATCACACTTGCACAGTTCACATTTCCTATCAATCTTCTGACACCTACTCTGATAATTCTGTGACTCTCTCAGATACATTTTCTTCCAGAAATCCCAGGTGGTCTTAATTGGAAACTCTTGACATTTTATACTATTGGAACTTCGAACTTCCCCTGGAAGCTTTATTATACAGTTCTCATCTTCAGAAACTTGAGTAGATTCTGCTGTCCACAAGAGACAGAATGAATCACCTTGTTTTGGCAAATCAGACTTCTTGCCTTGCAGATTTATTATCACATCTTGATTTCTGGTTAACTTACTTATAAGTTGTTCCCATATTTGCCACCACAAAAAGTCTTCCTGAAAAAGGTACCTTAATCCAACTACTTGAAGAGTCCCTATCTCACTTTTATTCCAATGTCCTGGAACAATAAAGAGAATTCAGAGATGAATATGAGGACAAATTAATTTCTGTTCACAGATAATTAATTTGGCTGAATTTTCTGATGAATATGAATGGATACTGTTATCTTCCAGGTTTTGTACATATATATTTGTACATATAAAAGGTGGCACGGTAGTCAGCATACAGGATGGTCCCCAATGATCCTGCCTCCTGATGTCCATATCCTATCAAATTCCTTCCCAATTATATAAGGATTGGCCTGTGAAGCCAACAGAATATGGCAGAAGTGAGAATACATCACTTCCAAGGTTAGGTCATAAAAGACACTGGGGTTTCTGCCTTCTACTCTCTTAGGTGTAACTGGCTGGGGGAAACCCGCTGTAATGTTTTGAGGACACTCAGGCTGCTCAAGGGAGAGGCCCACTGGCAAGTGCCTGAGACCTTCTGCCAACATCCAGGTGAATGAGTCCACCTTGGAAGTGATACTTCAGTCCCATTGAGCCTTCAAAGGCCTGAAGCTCTGCTGGACTCCTTGACAGCAACTTTATGAGATCCTGACCCACATCACCCAGGTAAGCTGCCTCTAGGTTCTTAACTCACAGAGGTATTAAGTAAATGCGTAAGCTGCTAAGTTTAAGAGTAGTTTGTTATATAAATAGCTAATACAAGTACCATAAAAATTATAATTAAGTTAGACATTTGTCAGAAGAGCAGCAATGTCCTGAAATAATCCTTTAGTGACACTTGTTTTTCCTCCACTTGTCAGCTGTCTCCAGAGGAGTGAGGACACTCAGATCCACCTGGCATCATTCTCTATAAGCTTTTGTTTACAAGGATCCTCAAGGGAAAAGAAACAATTTAGTTTGTGCATCTGTGGAGTTAAAATAGGCCTCAAGGACATTCTTCATAAAGGAAGCAGAGCAACTAGAGGAACAGACAAAATGAGAAATCTTGGGATATTCTGCTATTGCCAAAAAGAACTTTGAATAAAGGGAGCTGTAGGTAGAATATGCTCTAAGATTTGTTCAGCTTCCTGAGGGGTGTCAGTTACAGTGGTGCATCCATTTGTAAAAACTCATCAAATTGCGTGCTTAGGATGTGCACATGTAAATGCTACCTCAATAAAAAGAACTTAAATAAGTCATTTCACTACCTGAAAATTCATGGAGGTGTACATATATAATCTATGCAGTTTTCTGTAAATATTTCAATTAAAATGTTGGCCCAAATTAAAAAATAGTAAAGATTTTCTCAAGAACACAAAGCAGCCCTGGCCAGGTAGCTCCGTAGGTTAGAGCATTACCCAATACACCACAGTTGTGAATTAGAAACACAGAACACATATAAGAATCAACCAATGAAAGCCCAAATAAGTGGAACAACAAATCGATATTTCTTTCTCCCTCTCCCTCTCCCTTCTGCTCTAAAATCAATCTAAGACTAAATAATAAAAAAGAATTTCCTTCCTTTAAAAAAATAGAATTTTATTTTATTTTTAAAGGCAAAGCAGTTGGGAAGCTACCTGGCAAGAAATAAACAGACAACAGTTGTCACTAGCATGGTAATTCTCAAGGCAAGTATGTACAGAAATGTAAGGGAGCGAATCAAATGGAGCTGGATCCAACCTTTCTGACTGTGAAAACAGTACACAGCATGAAGACACAAGAACAGAAATGATCAAAGGACTGAGAGGACTTTCCCCACTACTCACAGCAGGCATGGCCTCATCTATCAGATTAGCGGCTAGATTTTCCTGTTATTTTCTTTGCCTATTTGATTTAGTTTTTTATTTCTGGTGCTTCTATCCAATAGGGATGACTGAAATTACTGTATTTTAGTCTGGGTTTACCTGAAGGATATACAGAGTAGGGATAAATGAAGGGAGAATGCACCACTGTAACTCACACCCCTCAGGAAGCTCAGGAGTGGAGAAAAGCAAGAAATGAAGAGAAGGCAGGGAGGGTGTCACTGGGTAAGTGGATGGGCCACTGCTCACAATGATCATGCTGTTTTGATTTACTCACAGTTTTGGTTACACTATGTGGGTCCAAGAAGGAGCTATGCTATCTTTATTCTATTTCATTCCATACAATAAAGACATGACTCACCAACTGATTTTACACCCCACCAAGATGTTGCGACTGCAATTTGCAAAATATTGGAAAGGTATAGACAAGATATCCCACAGGACTTAGGAAATGCAGATCCCCAGGTTTGGGGACACATTTCAAGAGTACCAATGTCTTGAACATTTGAAATCAAAATACTCCTGAAAGCTGACTTCAGTCAGGGAGGGCGCCTGTCCTCACCCACGGAAACCAGGTTCCAGAAGTTCTCCAGCATCACGTCTTGGTACAGCTTCCTCTGGGATGGGTCCAGCAGCCCCAGCTCTTCCTCCGTGAAGACCACAGCCACGTCCTTGAAGGTTACCGCCTCCTACGACACCAAACACAGGCAACCTCAATCTTATGACCAATGACCACTGGGAGAGGGGCAGCGCTGAGTGGGCAGAGAGGATGGGTGGGAAGCTGTTCTGGATTCTGAGGGCCTTGAGTCTACCTTATGTAGTTTCTTACTTTTTCCATTCCAGCATGTCAGTTCCATACACTGATTTTCCACAGTCCCATCCAAAGGCCCTGTTCATTTCACCTGGTGTCACTTGTGCTACTGGATTCCTACCGTAAGCACCCTGGAACTGTAAGTCTTGAATCACGGGGGATATTCATTTTCTAAGTTGAGTAATACTACCAAAGTGTTCCAGAAATATTAGGCCAATTTACTCTCAGCAGGGTCTGGTAGCTTTTATCTTTCCTTTCTCACACACACATTCACTACGCCTGGGTACTGTCATTTTTTTACAATATCACCAACCAAGAGGTCACCGTTCCTGAGGAGCTTTAAAATTGGTCCACTGTGCTCTCAAGGCACATGCCATCTACCTGTGACACTATGACAGTATTCAATGTGTCTGACAGTGTTCGTGCCAGAATACCTCAGTTCAAATCCCAAAGCTATGCCTCTCCCAAACTGAATGACTTTAGACAGACAAATGTGACAACTCAAAAATAACGATAAAAAAGACACTATTAAGGCAACCACAGAAGGGAAGAGAGTTACTCACAGTACATGTACATGACAGAGGATGTGAACTCACAATATGTCAAGAATTCAGTCATTAACAATAGAAAGTGGAAGCCCATTCTTAAGATGGACAAACGACTTCAACAACTTTTCCAAAAGGATATATAGATGGTGAAAGTGCACGTGAGAAAGTTTCCAACATCATTATGCATGAGGGAAATACAAATAATACTCACAGTGACATGTCACTCATTAGAATGGCAGAAATACAAAACTATCTCCCGTCCAACAATGGCAAAGATGGAGACCAACTGGAACTCTCAGACGCTGTGGTGAGCTGTAAAATGGCAACACCCCTTCGGACAACTGCTTACGTTCATCTATCCTACGGACTCATTCCACTTCTAGATGTCTACCCTGGAGATACGAAAACCTATGTCCACAAGAAGACCTGCACAAGAATGCTCACAGGACCTCATGCACATCAGAGGCTGCAAAATAACCCCAATGTCCTTCAAAAGGGGAATTTTGTCTATCCTTCCAAAGGATAAACAAACTGCCACATATTCATAAAATGTCATACAACTCAACAATAAAAAGGAATAATGTAGTGATACATACCACATAGATGAATCTAAAAAACATTATGTTGAGTGAAAGAAGCCAGGCACAAGAGTACATACTGTACATACTGTATGAATTCATTAAGTATATTAAACTTGAAAACAAGTAAACTAATCGTGTGATGACAGATCAGAACAGCAGATCCCTCCCAGGGGTAGAAAACTGAGTTGAAAGGCTGTGTGATATGAGAGAACACAGGCACCTTCCCAAGCTCCCCCAACCCCACGCCACATGCTGTGGGAATATAATAAATGTCATCTGTAAGGGTACCACCATGGGACCTTGGGAACCTGCCATTTCCTTGGGCAAGGAACGGCCAAAAAGAAACATTTCTTGATGTGGCCCCAGGTTGTAAACACTATTACCCTGTTTGCTTTCTTTCCTGTACTCTATATAACCCTGACTGAGAAAACCTGTGTTGTAGAGACTTCACTGGCAGCTGCCTTCCTCCCCAAAGCCTGTGCACAAAACTCCTAATAAACTCATGTCTTTTGCAGCCAGTCCAAGACTCAAGAGAGGACTTTTGGGGGTAATGTAAATGTTCTATTTCTGGTTTGGGGAGGTGGGCTAATGTAATTATTCAGCTTTGAAAATGGGGTATACCACTGTCACTGACCTGACACTCAAGATCTGTAACTTTTGTAAGTAAATTATATTTCATTTTTAAAAGCCTATGCAAAAGTGTTATAAATCAAAACAACATTTGTTCAGAGGCACAGTAAAGTGCATGCTTCTTTGTGGCTTCTGAAGTTCACACACAAAAAAGAGAAACCCTTCTGAGACAAGTACATAAACAAATGCAGAATCACAAAAAACTCAAGTGACAGCATTAAGTGAGAATATTAGGTTGAAAATCATACATATGCTGTGGTTGTAACTATACAAAATAGAGCATGGGGAAAATAGCAGTTATAGCAGTGTAGTAATCTGGCTCTTAAAACTTTTTTTATATCTATGAAGTTCTGCACCATTATTTGTGAAATGAAGATGATAAAATAAAACCAAAACTATACACCAACTCCAAAGACAAAAACAGAGACGCTGATATAAAAGCTAGTAACCGGCATGTAACAAAATCCTGGTCTTTATCTTTCCCAAGCAAGAGGGAAAAACGTGTCTAATCTTTGAGGCAATTCTAAGCAATAAAAATCAAAACTCAGCTCACCTGGAACTGGGTCATTTTCTCCTGCTCCTGCTGGGGAGGCACAGCGTCCTGGGAAGGCAGAGTGGCAAAGGAGAAAGCAGCCATGAGACACGGGCCCTGGCACACAGGCTGCTCTGTGAATTATAAAATGTGACCCCTCCCTCTGGCCACAGCAGTAGCCTCTCAGCCAGGGCCCTTGTACAGGGAACAACCTGCCGGACTAGTCCCCTGAAGCTCCCGGGGTCACCATTCTCATCCTGGGTGTAGTGGGACATGAAAGGCAGTGGCATGTCCTGGCCATGACCACGAGAGGAAACCCTGAGGCCAAACGGTCTGGGTGGGGCATGTCACCAGGATTCCACTATTGATTCTTCCGACCCACTAGCTCTTGGTGCCTATTCCCACACCTATCGAATGGGGAGAATCCATTACCCAGCTCACAGCGTTGTTAAGACGTTTCCGTGAATCTATTCAAACAAGCAAGCAGAGCCTAGAGCTACCCACGTTCACGGGACTGCCAGCCTCGGGCAGAAGTAGTTTAGTAGGAGGGAGAGCGACGCGTCTGCTTCTCAAAGCCTGGGAGCAACACCCGATCAGAATGTCCAATCCCCGGGCACTGGCCCTACATTTGCTGCACTCTCCTGCTCTGCTCAGTAATGGACTTTTGCAAGGAGACCAGACGTTTCACAGTATTTAGTAAGAGAAAGTAAGTGGGTCTGGGGAGCCTGGCTAGCGTGGCACCTGCCCACCACCTGCCTGCTGCCTGCCACCCACTCTGAGAAGCCTTCCATCACCCGGGCATCCCTGCCCCCATAGAGGAGAGGATCAGCAACTGTTTTGCCTGTGAGATGATAAACACATCTTTATCCTTAGCACCTAGAGGAGAGGGAGTACTCAAAACCCACAGAATCCAAGGATGACAGAAAACACACTCTGCTGGGCAGCCTGGGCTAGTGGACTCGGGGAGCTGCGCGATTCTGAGCCTGAAGCCCCCAGCTGGGAGGAGGGGAGGAGG